CAAAAAAAAAAAAAAAAGTAGAAGCGTTATGCTGTTTTTTTTAATCACCACAGTCTTTCCAAGTACTTTTTTTTTTTCTCCTAAAAAAAATTTTTTTTTTGAAACAATTTCTATTAATTGATTAGAATCTATGGATATTTGGCAGATGTGTAATGATAAAAAAAAAATTTTTTTTAATTACTGGTTTTCTGCTTGTGATTATTATTGAATTTGTTTCTTCTTTTTTTTACCCTGTAATTCTTCAATAGCATAAAGTTAATCAGAGGTTGTCAAACTAAGGAATATTATAATCACTGTGCTACAGCTTTAATGCTGTTATTCAACTTTAACAGTCAATCACAGCTGTACAGTTTTGACTTCGTGATAATTTCTCTTTCTACTCGATTAAAATCTACACTCCAAATTTTGATCTGCACTTTAAATGCCAAATTTTTTGTTTTTTTTGCCTAACCTAATTTGTTGATTGAAATCTAAAATTAGATTTTTTTGCACTTCTCCAATGTAAAGTTTTACTGACTATAAGGTAATAAAAAGTAAAAGAAAGATCAACAAATGTAATCAGAAGCGAAAAAGTAACGGTGATGGTCATTTTGTTTGTAACATTTCTACAGCTTAGTATTGGTGTTGGTTTTGTCACAGTGCAGTAACAGTTGGTAGTTGAATTGGTGTGCTACCAATGGTATTAACAAAAAAAAAAATGATACATACTATTGTCAAATGATCACTTTTCTGTACTTTTGTTACTCAATAATATTTTCTTACTAGTTTTTACCTAAAAACGTGACACTAAAGTTCTAATACTTAGACAAAAAAAGCGTAAGAGGAGAAGAAGCAGCAAAAAAATGACCTCAAAAAAAAAAAGTTGTTTTTTCAACAAAACAAAAAAAAAAAATTAATTCAGCTTATTTTGTTTGAAGATTTATTTAGTTTTATATTCTCATCTTAATTTTCTTTTTTTTTTTTTTTCTTGGTCAGTTATTTGTGCATTTGTATGCATTTGTATATTCTTTTCTTCCTCTGCTTACCATTTCATTATCCCACCCAAAAATTTTTTACTCGAAGATCATTTATACAAAGGTACAACAACAACAACAAAACAACAACAACGACTACAGAGTTGAGCTCATTGAAAAAGCAGAACGGATAAGATAATTCTTTAATAAGAAAAAAAAAAAAAAAAGAAAAAAGAAAATAAAAAAATTTTTTTTCTTTTTTATAAAAAAAATTTTCCATTATTTTTTTTTTATCCCGCTAAAAATTTTTTTTATGATTGCTCAATTGCTTAGAGTTTACATAACAAAAGTATCTTTTGTTAGTAGCTGCGTCAAAAGGCTCTTCTTAAACACTCAAAGAATCACATCCGTAACATTTACTTATTCGTAAATATTAACCAAATCTGTTCCTCCCCATCTTCCTCTCTTCTTTTCTTTGTATCAGAAGAAATTGAAAAAAAAAAAAATTGTCTCCTAATCTACTTCAATTTTTGACCTACTCTACTTGTTATCTTTATTTATTGCTTCATCTGGTGTACAGTATTGTAGTTATAGGTAAAAATGTTCAATCGTTCCACCGTAATGGGGCTTCATTAGACTTATGGCTAATTCAACTTCAGCAAATTCTTATCATGTGCAAAAAGTTTATTTCTTCAACTAGCTGCCTGTTTTCTTCTGCTTGTATACCGAAGACTAAAAGTCAAACATTATGTCATATTCATCTCTTTGAACTGTTTTACAGCTTTTTGAATATCTGTAACAATTGTGGTCTGCTGGAATTGAAAACGTTAAATTTTATGCAAATTTTATTATTGCTTTCATATAATACTTCTGACTGTTTCTTTATACTACAGGATTTCTGTACCTTGCAGAACCGTAAATAATTCTTATAAATCAACCTGATTATTTTCTGCTGTAATTGTCTCAAAAGTGACTCATCATTTTTGACTTGACTATTCAGAAAGTTTTCAGTTTCCAACTGCTGTTATACAGCGAAAAGGAGGGAATTTTAGTTGTAGTTGAGAAATTCTTCTATATTTTAGTAGTTTCCTAACTTCGAACAACTAAAGATAAAACATACTTATAAGCGCGAGTAAAAAAATGATATAAGAATATACTTAAAGAAAGTCTTTAAATTCTAAGCGAATTTCACTGTCCAATTCAGCGAACAATAGACGGTTTTGTAACATTATATTACGCCTTTCAAAAGGCATCCATCTTTAATGTTCAAAGGCGATATTTCAGCTTTTACTCGCGTAGTATAGTGAAAGAAATAAGAGAAAAACAATTTTGCTACAATGAAAAAGATTTTAATGCATTTTCTTTACACCCAAAAATAAGCTATCTTCTCGACAGCAAACATTGTTTAATGTTTTCTGTTTGCTCATTAGACAAATTGAATCCTATTTAGAATCTTCCGGCTTTGTTTTCTTTTTCTTTTTTTTTTTAAGAAACTTTACTGGAAAGATTAATAATTAAGAATTGAATTTAATGCAAAAAAAATAAAGAAAACAAGACAGAGTAAAAAAAAAAATTTGATTTACAAATGGTACAAAAAAGTATGAAAGTGGCTGTTTGCGTAATATAAAATTGAGATTGGTTAATTTAGCGCAGTGATTGAATATGTGTTATTTAAGTGCTTTCTTAAAATGTTAGGAGTTTTGAGTATTGCTGTCAATACAGACTAAATTTTAAAGTAATGTAAAAAATTATTTTACATTTATAACCGCTACTGCAGTTGTTGTTGTCAGAAACTTTTGCGAACAATAAAACTGCAGTTGTCAATATCGTGGTCCTCAAATGCTTAGCAAAATATACTCGAAATTGGACTATGATATTACTGTGTAGCATTAGATTGCCATGTATATTTTGATTTAACAAGATATAAATTCTGCCGATAACCATTTTTTTCTTTTGGTTTTTTAACTATCCAAATCTTCACTCTCAAATTGTTATTTGCTCATAAATTTTTTTTCTTTTCAACCACGGTTCAATATTTTTCTTATTTTTCTTATTTTCTTATTTTGTCTAATTGATCTGGTAGGTAAAAAATGAATTTCAGTTCACTGACTTGTCATCACTTTTCACAAAGTCTGTCTTCTGATGCATATTCTTATATGTTCTAGGTCAGAGATCTGGCTTGAAAATAATGGATGGATTGCCAAGGTTTTCATTCCAGAGCGGTGGTTCAAGCGCGATAGTTACACGCATCTTACAAGTACAATAGCTTTATTAAATCCAATATTCCGGCATCACTTTAATTCTTTAAAATTGTTGTCAAAAGTGACAAATAAATAAACATACAAGCAAAAGTTTTCTTACAAATACTAAAAAAATTAGTTTTATGTAATTTTAAAATGATAAGTGCATAAAAAGTGCTGCTGACAATTTTAGCTTTAATCATTCTAGTGACAAACAGCAAATAAGTTTTATTGAATAAATTTCACTTTAGAGGTCAACGACAGTTGAAAATGATAAAAAGTTGCATTTTTTTTTTTTTTAGATTGCTGTTGGTCTTTTTGTTACAACCACAGATTTTCCAACATTTGAAACAAAAGACTACTTGAAAGTTCCCACCTATGATTGCTCATTCAATGAAGCATGTCGTTGGGCACCTGGTGGATTTGGCGAAGAACGATGGAGATTGGCGACCACAAATCCTGATACATTTCTTTGGTTTGCAGCTACAGGAACAACATTAAAACCTAGTACAGTTGTTATACAACAATATAATTTTCTTCTGCTCTTTTTAGATAGAAAGTATTTTCAATTAACTTATCTGAAAAAGTGCTGTTTACCAACTGTCATTTCATTTTACGTATAAAGATAAAGATAAAAGATTAAAAATAAGAAATACTTCCTGTTTAATCAACAATTACAGACTGCGATTTAATGCTTGAAAAAAAAATTTACTTTTGGGTAAAGCTGTTGATGTTTTTTGTTGTTACCACTGTTTAGAGCTTTATTATTGTCGAGAGCAACAAAATTAAGAAGAAGGAAATAATTTTTTAGCACATTTTCAAAAATAATTCTGTCAGTTAGCTCAATCTAAAAACTGTTTTTTAACAGTTTTTTTTTTCCAACAACTTTTCCGTTCTGCTCTGTTTTAGAAAGTCCATATGCGCTGATGGAACTTCGCGGTAAAGCATCTGAATGGTTAATGACCGATGCGATCGAGTGCCAAAACGGCAGCGCAATGCTCTCGTTTATGTACTGGACAATCGGTTAGTGCGAAAATAGATTGATACTAAAGAATTCTTTTTTATTTTTATTTTGTTTTCTTTTTGACCACTTAATCGATTGATCTTCACTTTTTATTTAAAATACCTACAAAACAAAATCGGCTATGCTAAGCTTAGAATCATTAAGGCAGTTTTGAAGCACAGTTGAATGTAAGCGACTATAGTGTAAATAAGAAAATAAGGTTTTTATTTACTTCTTAAAAAAAAATTTTGTTTAATTCTATAAAACTTTCTTAATTGTAACATTTGAAGTAAAAAAAAATAAGTATTAAAACTTAAATATAATGCAATAAAAATGTTTCAAATGTGCATCAAAACCAGAAATATTTGTCAAAAAAATGCTTTGAGATAGATTACAACTGCTCCACATTTTTTTCAAATCTTATGCAAAGCTTAAACACCACGCGAAATTTAAAAAAAAGTTAGATCTTTTTGAAACATTACTGTATAATTGAGCTGTTTGGAAACTGTGTTTAGTTCCATTTGAACTTTATTTCATTAGGGTTCTCAAAAAATTCTCATTTTTTACAACATTATATATAGTAAATACTCAATAAAAGCTCATGTTTACGTGTTAATACAACTACGCTTTCAACAATACACCGCTCTGCTATTTATAGGAGACGCTGATCTCGAAATTTGTTTAACAGATGATTTGGGGAACAAATACAACTGCACCGGTATGCTTCAGGCACGTACTATGCCTGGGAAAGTATCGTTGAAGATACCTGAGCTACAACGGCCATATCATGTAAATCAGTTTGTTGTCTCGTCTTTTGTTTTTTTTTTTTTTTTGGTATTTCTAAAGCGTATTCCTAGATTCTGTCTGTAAAATAACGAACTAGTATTACTTTAAAAAATGGGTTTTTTTACCTAAAAAACCCTTTTGTTTAAGATTTCAATATGTCCTAACAACGGCCCCGGAGTTATCGCGATTGATAACATCAAGTACGATGCTCTGCCGTGTGTACCGGAACGATTGCTGAGAACCCGTCCAGGATCTTTCATCAGTGAAACAGTAATTGTTCTCTGTTTGAGTACTGAATCTTGATATCGTCATGCCAAGTAATGAACTGCGCTTTTGTCATTAGTCCATCGACTACCGCCTAGTTATTACTATAGTTTCTTACTCACAAAAAACAAGTTTTTTTTTCAAAGCGAAAAAAATTTATTTTGTAGCTTTTCAGAGTGGTCAGTTTTTTAGAGTTGATTTTTTAGTATGGTCTTTTTTTGTTAAAAACTACTGTTTTGCAGCCAACGACGCAGACGGTGACTGCATCAGCGTTCAAAACAAAGACAACAACGAAACCAGATTCAGAATCAAATCAACTTCCAAGCTCTTCAACTTCATCAAATACTATTACAGACCGGATAATCACGATTAGTGGCACTGCTACTAAAGAGTACAATATAATTTTCTAACTTTATTTTATTACAGTATTTCGATATCCACATGTTTTTGTCCCTTTTTTATTTCTATTTTCAAAAACCGACGGCCTTGAATTTACTACCAAATCGGTACATCCGTATAAGTGGCCCTTATCGCATCACGGTTTTCAGAAAATCTGCGGCTACAACTAAAGAACCATTGCTGCCACTGGCGGCGACAACAATAGATTCAATAACGACTGAGTCGACTACTGTAGATTTGACGACAATAACAGAAACTACAACTGCAACAGCAACCACAACCACGACATCAACAACAACAACTACAGCGACAACAACAACAACGCCGACAACGACGACGACGACAACGACTACAGAAAGACCATTTGATGTCTTAATTCTTGGAAATAAGACTTCACCTTTTCACGACAGACGTCAAAGGCGCTTTTTGAGCGATACTTCTCAACTTCTCTGTGATTTTAGTGCTGAATTTCCCTGTCGATGGGGGCCTGAGTCAGGTAGATGGGGTATCATCCAAGAAGGTAACAGTTGATGCAGTAATGAAGTGATCGTTAGTCCAAATTTTATATGTACATTGATGTGTTCCTTCCAGGTGCAATACCTTCATTGGAAGCAACAAATAAAGTCTTACCTGCATATCCAGCAGCTGTTGTCATTCAAGGGTCGGCAATGCTGTCTAGTGATCCCCTTAGATGCCAAACCGGCACTGGTAAAGTTGGTGTCCTAATATGATTTCTCAAGATAAATCTCTTTTTGTTAGACTTAGTCACTTTCAATCTTTTCTGTTCTAATGCTATATCGAATTTTAACAAATTTATTATTTAATTTCTATTATATATTCAAACATAATGACTTGTTGTCCTAAGTGACACTACAGCTTTTTGATTTAGTTTTGACAATTGTTTCAAACTTCAAGGCACCTACTGCACTTTCTTCTTTAGATTCTATTCCGGTACTGGAGTAACACAAAAATTTTTCTACAAGTATGTGCTCTGGGTTACGGCACTAAAAGCATGAAAATTGAATGTTATGACAGAAGTAAGAAAAAGCAGTCATTCAACGATCGGACTCTGGCCGTTTTTGATTTATTAAACCCAATAGACGAACCCTTCACTGTACGTATAAATTTTGTTTTTTTAGTATTTTACAAAGGTCTGTTAATCTGACTTGGCGTAATAACTTCAATTAAGCTATGAATTGCTGAAATATGCCTTGCTTTTTCTTGTGCTACGTTTAAACCATTCTTGTTTAGTTAAACATTGTACCACAGTGGGGCAGGCTCAATCACAATGAATATTTGGTAATCGACGAAATTGCTTATATAGGAGAATGTGATTTGGACAAACTGGAAAAGAAAACAAAACTTATTGAGGAGACCTCAGTGATACCAATGAAATCTGTTTTTACAACGAAACATTTAGGGAATTCAACAAAATCAGCTCCTTTCAGGTGAGTGTTACATTCATTCTTAAAAGCTGCTTGATCAAGCGCTTCTCAGTGTTTTAATATTTATTTAGAAAGTCAGTAAAGAAAAATACCAGGCAATGGGTTCCTCACCTGAATCCTCTGCTAGTTTTCATTTTCTATAAAATTTAAAATGAAGATAAGAACATCTCCCCAAAGGTTTTTTTATCGCTACTAATCTAATTCAGTCTGTGGATGTCCACAACAAGGCAAACATCGAATCATCATTTATTTACTCCATCGACGTTGGAGACACGTGAAGGCAGAACCAGCAGCACTACGGCAATGGGCACAGCAACAGTGGTTCCAGTTACAGAACCGACACAAATATCCTCGACAACTTCGGCTACAAGGACAATAACAAGTGATGCAACAATAATGACAGAAATGACTACACCAGTAGTACCAGAACCGTATACGACTCCGTTTCGCTCCTCAACAGTTCTGCTCCTGTCCACTAAACCACCAATGCCAACCCCTCGTCCATTTGTTACTTTAAGTAATCACACACACATTCACACTGCGACACCTACGTCTTCAGTAGACGTTGTAAACCCGGGAATCGAAAAAAGTACACTACCACCTGAATCTTTCACAGTTGGCTATACCCCGTACACCTTTCCGGTTACTGACGGTTACATAATGTCTAGGAATTACTGTAGACTGTTGAACTGCAACTTTGAAGGTAACTTTACCTCTCTGTTGAGTAGATATAATGAAATACCAGTTAGAATATTTGCGAAGAGCTGATGAAATCATTTTTCAGTGAACGCCTGCAATTACCTCAACCATGGACTTACAAAGTCTCCTTGGTCGTTAAGAACTCGAGGATACGGCTTCCCGTTGTCACGTTACAGTGATATTAAAATGCGTATGTTTGACATTTATTACGTGTTTTGCAGAAGTGGTTGTCATACGTAACTTTCTTCTTTCTGAAAATACAACTAATTTTTTGTCATTAGAGTGTACATCATTTAACAGTGATTTCAATAGTAGTCTTATGATTAGCCTTTAGCAAATGTACGAATTTTATTTTGCGGCGATATTCATTTTCATTATGTTGGCAGACGATTTAACTGAAAATAATATAAAGTTTTATTTGTAGGATAGTTTGCGAGGTTAAAAGCCAGATTTTGCTGTATGAAAAGAATATTTTTTAGCACCATCCAGAGGCCAATTTGTAAGCACGCTACTGGCACCAGGAGAATTTGCGATTCTAGAATCTCCAAAGTTCAATATGACACGCGGACTGAATGTTTTGCTCTTCCAGTACTACAGGTTGTTATTACAATAACAAAAACCTTCAACAATACCAAAGTTTCTTTTATTTATAGCAGTAATCTTGCAATTCGTCATTCTCTTCTGCGTCGCTGATTAGCGCTCTCTTCGTTACATTTCTAGGCCTTCATTCTACTCAACTATAAGACTGTGCATCGGAAGTCATTATTCTAATCCGTATCGTACAGTCAATTCGTTTTTACAATGCCCTCCGGTTCTCCGATCAACGTCATCAAGAAATGCCCATCGGTGGAACACCGCGCATGCACAGTTACCCCCTGGTACCACTCAAGTGAGAATTTTTTTAAATAGCCTGCTTAATCTTCAAAGCTAGATTGTGTAGATTTCAAATTCAAGGAAAAAAATAAGTCTAGAAGCTTCTAAGACGTCCACAATCATATCACTTAACAGATAATAACTTAGTTTTATCTGGTCGCTCATAATGTACCAACGGCAAGGGAGAAAACTGCAGTCGGTATTGACAACATTCGAGTTGCAATCTGTGAACCAAGAGTAGACAGAATAAGCGACTACGATGGCATTTTTGAGAGTACTGAAAAATAACCAATCTTTTGTTAACTGATGTATTCAATCTCTTATCTTTTCAAACGGGTCTATTTGTTATGCTTATCATTTCCATTTGTAGTTATCAAACGTTTTGTTGTTATTTTTGTCAGCACTCTAATTATATACGTTTTTCCTGACTTATTCTAGTCTCACAGGTAGCAAGCTCTAAAGAAGTCAACAATATAACAATGGTCGTTTTTAATGGACTAATTTGTTTATATTCTGAAGAGAAAAGAGTGGAATTACTGTATATAAATTTCTTTTCCCCTTGTTTTTTTTTTCTCATTATCATTGTGTTCCAAAAATTTTAAGTTGAGGGAAATACTCATTGAACACCGCCATAAACGA